CTTGGTTTATATGCTGCAGCCTCTACCAATGATGTCTCTACCTATATGTTGTCTGGGATTAGAGGAGCAAAGTGTCACCTTCCACTGTTACATATAGTGGCACTGAAAATGAATTGCCTGTATTTTGCTTAAAAACAAAGTTGGCAAGGCTATCTGTTCCAAATGATCACTTGGTAGGTGCTGGAGAACCAATAGTGTCTGTACTTTCCAAACATTAAAGAAGGCAAGGCTATCTGTTTCAACTGATAGTTCAAAAGATTCAGAAAATCCAACAGCTATAGAAAACTAATGGATTCCAAGTTAGACCAAGTCACTGACCTGGAGGTGCACAAAAGACAGCTTCTACCAAGGGGTTTGGTGTTCAGTTCAGCTCTCTCAGGGCTGGGAGGAGTTTGGTTCATATCTGTAATGATACAAGGACACAAGACGTCTAGTTCCTGGTGAAACCATCATTTTGACCAGCTTATATCAACTTCATTCTGGTGAGTATTGATTGGCTATATAAGTTGTGAAGTAGATCTGGATGTGTCCATGAAGTGTCATTCACAAAAGAAATGTAGTCATCTCAGACCTTGAACATGACATAAGCATTCTCACAGGAGAATTAACTGATGCCAGTCAAATTGAGCCCAGGAACAGTGGACTGCGTGAGTTTATGTAGTTGAAGGAATAAAAGTACCTGTATATACACAAGTAATATTCCATTGTTTACTATGGAAGAAGGCTAGTACATCACTACCATGTAATGTGGTTACAGAAGATCTGTTTGAAATTAACTGTTACCTGCTCATGAAAAAGGCAGCATTAGCTAAGCAGTTATCTGTCTAAGCAGGGGTGAATTCCTGGTGTTATCCAACTTTATGCTGATATAGTTAGAAGTGCAGTAACTGACATTAGTGGTAACACTTGGGTTGTATCTATTGTGCAAAAGCCAAAAAGTATGCAACTGTAAACATATCTAATGATGTGTACTGAGAATTGTGCAAGCATTCTAGACCCAATTCAGTGAAAATAACTTTGTGAATTTTTGTTTGAATGTATTGATGTACTTGTGAGTCATTTGGGTCAAACAACAATGATTCACCACAACCATACATACAGGTGACACATGTCTAATAAAGAAACCATTGCACTGACTTTCGTGGAGCAGTAAGAATGTAGCCACCACTTAAATACAATGGATGTCAAAGGATGGAGTTATACGATCCTTGGAGAGTGCTTGGTATTTTCCATCAGTGATTGTTAGAACAAGGAAGGTACACCAAGACCCTGTGTTGATTTTATATGGGTAAATGTGGTCAATTGTGTTGACACCTTTCCTTTACTGCAAACAGATGAATGTCTGGACACATTAGAAGGTTCTCACTGGTTTATAACTAGATCTGTCATCCAAATACTGGTAAGTTGATCTGGATGACAAGAGCAGGCCTAATACTGTTTTCAACACTGAAGATGGTTTGTATGAGTTTTGACTTATGTCATTTGGCCTGTGTAATGTGCCAACTACTTTCAAGAGGCTATTGGAGCTTACACTGAAGTACAGATAAATAAAGCAAGCTTGAAACTGAAACCAGTAAAATGCTTACTCATATGTACAGAAGTGGAGTTTCTCACTTACATTGGAGTCTAAAAACCCTACTAAGATAACAACAGTGAGAGTCCGGCCTCAACCTGTGACAAAAAACAAGAATTTCTTCAAGATAGCCACATCATTGTTTGCTCTCTCTAAAATACAGATGCGCTTTGAATGAAGCAAGGAATGTAAGCAAGCATTCTGATTCATGAAGCTAACTTTACTGAATGTTTCAGTGCTGACATATCCATGACGAAACAACCAGTTAGTATTGGAAACCACCACCAGTGGAAATGGGATCTGGGCATTTTTGTTATAGTTGTATTACAGAGTAGAAAGTGTAATCATGTAATCTAGTTGTACACTTAGAGATTCCGAATGTGGATATTGTACAATGAACTACTTGCAGTTGTAGTCTTTGAAAGACACTATTACAACTACTTATAATGTAGGAGGCACACTGACTGGGTGAACCATGCTTACTGAAACAGTTAATGAACTTTAAAAGTTCAGAACGGGTGATAAGAAATAACAATGCTACGCCAAAAATTCAGAAATCACTAAATTTAATTCTGGAATAGTGCAACAAATGGCGGGTTTTATTAAACCCAACAAAACACAAGCAATCGCTTTTTTCGAAAAACTACGAAAACTCTTTTAAAAAAATCAAACTAAATTTAGGACAAATAGAAATAAAAATTAATAACAACATTAAATTAACAGATATCACCTTTGATACACATGTAACGTGGAATAAACATATCCAACACACATACGCCTCAATCAGTAAACGTATAAATTATATTAGACTCATTGCCGGTAAACACATAGGCTGCACACCGGGAAATATACAAAACATTTATACGCCCGCTCATAAGGCCTTAAAATAACATTCAACATGTCAGAAAATATCATCAAAAAACCACAATTGCAACAAAATAGAGCCATCATGTTAGCCCTAAGGTTCCCAAAATCCACTCCCGTAAAATATCTGCATAAAATTAGCAACCTCCCAACTTTATGAGATAGACTTACTACGCTCGTCCGTAAATATTACAATAAAGCTGCAAAAAGAAATAAACTTACATCTTCCCTCCATACAATTACAAGCGCTTCTTTCAAACACACATCACCATACAATCTGTATTGTAAACAATAGAACACAGAACAATCACATACACATACCTGTTGAGTTTGTAAGATTATATCGTGTTTTTTTTTTTTTTTTTTACCATCATGTTTTCTTCCATAGCCAGGACACAGGACAGATAGATTATTCAGCGTCTGTTCTGTCCTGCGAACGTGAGTTTTCTCGGGAATCCAGTTCCCCTCCCCACGGTTGGACCCCAAGGTCCCAGCCCCCTGAATAGGGCCTCCATGT